TCGTTCAAATTTTTTACAAGCAAATTTATCGTTTCTTACATTTCAGTCCTTAGAAACTTTAGACAACGGCAAACCTTATTCGTATGCGTATAATGTGGACGTGCCTATGAGCATTGCCGTGTTGAGATATTATGCAGGATGGGCTGATAAGAATCATGGAAAAGTGATCCCAGCTGATGGACAAGTCTTTGCATATACCAGACACGAACCAGTAGGAATATGTGGCCAAATTATTCCGTGGAACTTCCCCATTTTAATGGGGGCATGGAAATTAGGGCCAGCTTTAGCTACAGGTAACTACTCACAAAAATCATGTATTTTATTATAAAACGTTACTTCTTTTAGTTCACCGTAATTAACGAAACCTTTGGAGTCATAAATTCTGCAGCATAATATAAAGCGAGAATCATTATTTTATTCCTTAGGAAACGTTGTTATTCTAACACCTGCTGAACAGACTCCGTTAACGGCTCTTTATATGGCACAACTAACTAAAGAAGCTGGATTTCCCGGTGGAGTAGTCAACGTTGTTCCTGGTTACGGTAAAACTGGTGCAGCGTTGGTTGATCACAACGGAGTCGACAAAATCGCATTTACGGGTTCTACCGAGGTCGGCCAATTAATAAAACAAAATGCTGCTGCAAGTAATTTAAAGAGAACTACGCTGGAATTAGGTGGGAAATCTCCTAATATCATTCTTAAGGATGTCGATGTAGATAAGGCAGTGGAAACAGCGCATTTTGGATTATTCTTTAATATGGTAATTTACTTTGATGTATATCATTTACGCATAGACATCTCTTCTTTAGTCTTTCTTCGATTCGTGTGTCACTTATTTTAAAATTAAATTTTTGCCAGGGTCAATGCTGTTGTGCAGGATCAAGAACCTTTGTTCAATCGAATATTTATGACGAATTCGTTGAAAAAAGTGCACTTCGAGCTAAATCTAAGACCGTAGGAGATCCATTTGACTTGAAAATAGAGCAAGGTCCACAGGTATATTTGAATTTGTACAGATTAGATGCCAATATCAATCGATATATAATTAATATCGTATTACTAATCTTATAACCAACAATATAACAACGTTATTATTATATTATTAATATTGTTATTTAAGATTGATGAGGATCAGCTAAATAAAATTATGAGTATGATACAATCTGGTAAAGATCAAGGCGCTAGCTTACTAACAGGTGGCGAACGCATTGGCGATAGAGGCTACTTTGTTGCTCCAACGGTATTTGCAAATGTTGAAGACGATATGACTATAGCCAAAGAAGAAGTAATTATTAAAACTGTTTGTAAGAGACGAGATGTAACATATTGAAATTGAAATAAAATCTATACGTTCTTTTGGCAGATATTTGGTCCAGTTCAGCAAATCCTGAAGTTCCATGATTTAGAAGAAGTTATTGAACGCGCTAATAACACCGATTATGGATTAGCTGCTGCAGTTTTCACGAAAGATATTAATAAGGCGAATTATATAGTGCAAGGTCTTCGTGCTGGTACTGTGTGGTAAGTTGTTTGGAAATATTGTAAAGAATGAAACCCTAAAAAAAGACACAATTAATCTCGTTAATTTTTATGCAGGGTTAACACATATAATGCGATAATTCCTCAAGTACCGTTTGGTGGATTCAAAATGTCAGGACACGGTAGAGAACTTGGAGAATATGGACTTGAGGCATACACGGAAGTAAAAAGCGTAATTGTTCAACTTGAACAGAAAAATTCATAAACGGTCGTCAGATTCCTACCAAAGAATCATCTTGCAAGCATTTTTTACTGAACAAAAATAACAAGTGTGATTGATAAGTAATTTTTACATAAATTTAAAATTTATTGTAGATTTTTGTGATCTGTAGTACAGCAGTTAATTTTTTAATTTATCTTATACAAAATTATTTATAGAGCATGAACACAATTTGTAATTCATATTATGAATTACGAACACATATAAAGCGATATAGTTTTTGTAAGCTGCAACACAATAGTGAGGTAACAAAGAAATAATTCATCGCACAATGAATATTTTAAGTTTTGATTATGAAAATATATATAAATATTTTTCGATAAAATTGTAACGTCCGCCGCGCAAATCAAGCACACTTTGGCTGTGTTCCAAAATTGTTTGCCAGCGCTGACAGCACTGTTAACACCGTTTCAAAAATCATCGTAGCACGCTGTGGTAGTGCTGCGAGAGAGTAAAGACGTCACTAATTTTGTCGTCATTTCCTGCTGCGGCTACTGTGGCTGAAGAGGTGAGGCAGTTACAGCACAAAGATGGCGGAAAAGATGGAGGAGTTAATTTTAATTGATGCTGAGAGTAATACTGAATTTAAAATAAATATTTCGGTAGAAGATGCTGAGAAAGCAAGAAGTAGTAAGTAGATTTATAATTTTTTTGTAGTCAGCTTTTTATGGTCACATTTATTTATTCATACTTCGAATAATTATATATAATTTCGGCTAATTCTGAATCCGAATCACTAGATTCTTCATCACTAGAATCGAATGCTAATTTTATAATGGTTTCAAATAAAAATTTTCTCTGTATGGTTCTCTCCATACTTCTAGGTTATTTGTTTCTTTTCGCTGAAGTCGTTAACAGCATTCAAAATATCGTTCCAAAATGAAAGCTGCGTTTGCATGAAAAGCATGCTTACTAAAATTGGAACGCTATTGGTAGCATGCACTTATGACGACATACACGCAGCACTGGCAATCAATTTTGGAACACAGCCCTTATATGTCGCGTCGAGCGTTAACATCGCGTCTAATCGTTGCCATGGTAACGATTAGGACGCAGCGACATCGAAGCCGCGAAACGACAACGCGTAACCACGCGCTTAGCACGTGAGCAAAGACGTCAACCGCTAGGCCATTGTGCTTGCGCCAATTAAATATCTAATAAGGCGAATATAATGCAATTTAATAGCAATAGAACAATGATACCGCGGGGGAATGCAAGTAGCACAGCAAGCCTATAAGGCAGCGAAATACTAAAGCAATCGCGTTGCACTTCTCCCACCGAAATCATAATTAGGCCTCGTGTGCCAACAGTTCGAAAATTACGACGGATTGCCTGGCGACGGTCATCTCCAAATGACCACCGCCGGATAATCTTTCGTATAGCGAAGCCTCAACCGCAGAATCGAGCTGGGGCGCATAATACACGCCTAAACAAACATCGCGCGCCAGCAAGTAACGGTTGACAGTAAAGAACAACAACCGCACAATCAATAACTAAAACCTTTAGAGTGATAAAAGGGACGACGGAAAGGGCCGCGGAAGTAGCCAAAAAGGTCGGGAAACCCTCAAAGGGCCCTATAAAGAAAACCCCGGCTCCGAAACGCCAATTATCACGACTAACGGGTAGTTATCAACGGATTTTTGTAAAGAACATTCCGGAATATAATCCAGAATGTTCTAGAACATTACAAATGTAGCGAGGGCTGTGATTGGACAACCCCCAGCATCCCTCGCCCGATAGTCGTTCGGTGTAAAACTCGTGGACGTACAAACCAGCAACAGTGTAGCCAGTGCGAGGTTTATTCTCAATTATAAATTGTTTCTTTTCTCTCGCGTCACTATTGTTAGCGTCATTGTAAAGTGGTATCTGTGAAAATACGCTCGACAAATTAAAACTTGTTAAATTCCAAAGAACTCTCTTTATTACTTTTTATTACTTTCCTTTTTTTCTTTTTTTTTACTATTTTATCTCATCATTTTCTTCTATCTCTTTGCGCGCCGCGCCGCGAACGGAGTGCCTCAGTGTTCTGTGATCGTCCTTCTTGTCAGTGCGCGAGAGTGCCGGGCCAAATCGCACGTGCCTCCTTGCGTATCCTCCCGTTCCCGCGTGCGGGAACAGACGCCCTCGAACGACGACCCCTCACCCACTGGCGTCGCGCACCGCTGCTACTCCTTCTTGGACCCATAATTCAGCGGCCTTGAGCACCCTTCAGCGCTCGGACCGTACCCATCCCTAACCGCCTAAGCGCTCGATTACGAGCATCGGCGACTGTCCGAGCGGGGACGCAAGGGCTCCAATAGAGCTCCCCCACCGTTCTGTCCCGCAAATCAACTCCCCGTCGCTCACTCCTACCTTCCCGGCTGGCCCCCGCAAAAGAAAGGGGGCGCAGGTGCGCCACCTCCGCCATCAGCCCCTAAGAGCGCGATCCTTGCGCTGCGACGCTCCAAGCCGCGCTTCGCAGGCCCCCGCGGCACTCTCACTGCGGAACTTCCGATCGTTGATCGCGCGATATTCGCAGGAGTGACTTATGCCGCGTGTGCGTAGAGCGGGCCGCGAAGCCGAATACAGGCGCCTGGTGTGGGAGTATCACAGGAGCGAGGAATTCGACACTAACCAACCCCTCGTGGATGTGCCCCAGGCCTGAGTACCACCCGGTGCCCGCGAATCATCCCGATCCTCCCGCTGGATCGAGGGCACCCGCGAACCGGCCCCAAATAATAAAAATTGAAATGTTTATCCGGCCTATCCGGATAGCCTAGCAAAATAAAAGAGGACGGCGAGCGATTCGCTGATCGACACGGCGGCTCACTTGTATTGCTTTGCCTTCTCCATCCTCCACGGTAACGAGCGCGGCCCCGCAGACCGGTGCAGCTCGCGCGACCGAACCTACCGCCCCGTGCCCACCGGGTAAGCGCAAAACCCGGACGCGACAAAAATATATTATAAAATTTTCAATCTTTCGTTTTTCCTTAATTATGAAAATATATATAAATATTTTTCAATAAAATATATATAACAACTTTCAATCTTTCATTTTTCTACCTTATTTCTATTTACTTAAGCACACTGAACGCGTTACATTAAGGAAACTAACAAATTATCACAATACAAAGTTTGTCACGCTTGCTGTAAATTATGGTCGTTTTGCCGAATAAATATAAGTTGAATATTTTTAAGATTAAGACTTATATTTTCTTACTTTTAGTTTAGAATAAAAAAAATAAAATATTAAATAAAATACTTTTAATTTTAATTTTCGGTATCGGGATGTTCATAGGCACGGAATTTTCATATTGCAGACGTTTGTTTCCAGTGGATATATTTCGTCTTCCAATTGTTCCTCTTCCAGATATTTCTTGCAAAAACGAGATATAATGCTTGCACCAAGCGCGTCACCTATAATGTTGATTGTCGTTCTAAAACGATCGCTACAAAATAAATATATTTTCTTTTTTAATGCATAGTAAAGAATATATTTGTATGAAATTTGTATGGAATATATAATTTGTAAATTTATGCTTAATTCTTAACTTAAATGATATCGTACTCACATGAACCAGTCAACAGCGATAATTAGTGAAACATCTTCAATAGGTACTCCTATAGAATTTAATACCATTATTAACATCATATAACCACCACTGGGTATACCAGCAGCGCCCACGCAGGATACTGTACATGTAATACTAAAAATATTAAAGTTATATAAAGAATTAAAAAAGGTCCAGTTCATATTGTTTCAAATCATACAGAATATTTCTCCAAAAAAGAAAACGTCGCAATTTAATCGCGTTCAGTCAGTTATTAAAATGTTTTAATCACTGACCTGATAATTATTATCTTCAACAATGAGAATTGCAGACCACGTAATTGTATAATAAATATCGCCCCAATAGTTTCATACAAAGCTATTCCATCCATATTTATTGCTGCTCCAATCGGTATAATGAAATTTGTTATCTTGGGATTTATGCCGAGGTCTGCTAAACATTTTATTGTATAGGGAACCGTGGCGGTGCTAAATTACATGTTTAATTAGAATGTGAAATTTTGTCTTATTCGCATGTCAATTTTTTTATACCTTGACGATGTTCCAATGGCTGCTGCAAAAGATGGGCCAAGCTTGGATATAATTTTATATGGCGATCTACGCGTGATGATCCAATGAAGTAGCGGCAGGATTACAAAACCCTGCAGTGTTAGTCCAACGAACACTGTTAAGATATAAAATCCAAGATGGCTTATTATATCGCTAAAATCGTCTATTTCTAGCATTCGACCAGCGATAAGGAAAGTCACGCCTACTGGTGCCAACCTAAATAAAAAAGTTTTATCCCTAATAGCACACTTTATCCTGGGGATGTCCTTAGGACATCCCCTGAAGGTCTGTGCTGTTAAGGATTATTCATGTGTAATTATCTAATATATTCTATATGTTACATATTTTTTATTATTAGATTATACAGGGTGCGTCACCAAAATCCGAACAAATTGAACAATTTCTTTAAACAAAATGTTTTTAATGAAAAATTAAATATTACAAAAAATCCTTTTACATGGCACTTGGGGGATCCCTATAGAGCATAATTATTCGATATATTCCCCATTAGCTTGAATGACGGTCTCTATTCTTGGTCTGAAGCGTTCGCACGCACGCACGCTGTAATGTAGCGCTGTCCATGCCGACGAATGCTGCCTCAATAGCATTCGGTCCTTAATGACGTCACATTGGGATGCCGAGATTTGTGTATGTGTTTGTGACCCTTTCAACTACGCTCCATATGTAGTAGTCCAAAGGATTTAAATCTGGGCTGTTGGGAGGCCAGAATTCCTTAGACCAAAACATATCGACGTTGTCTGAGAGCCAATTTTGAATCAAATGATTCGTATGAGCCGGTGAGAAAAACATATGGCCTTCCGGACGCTACAGTTTCCATCCACGGCTTCACTACATCCATCAGAACGCGCAAATACACTTCTTTTGTGACAGTTTCCCCTTTTATAGAGATGTGGTGGCATGATATCACCCTCACTGGACCCAACACCTAACACGTGAACATTGGCCGGAAATTTTGTTCTGGCAACAGGGACATCCTCGGGGTTGTAGGCGAGCCATCGGTCATTCATCCGGTTAATTTTGACATCAACAGTAAAAATTTTTTCGTCAAAAAAGAACCTGATTCATCCCGACGCTTCGTTTTTCAAGAAATACAATAACAGATTGCAGCTTGCCTTGTCCTGGCAGCTTCAGAGAGCATCTATCGTATCTTTAATGTGTACGATTTGTATCGAAGGTCCTCCTCGGTAATTCGACGCATTGTTGGCTCTCTTACACCAACAATCGATGCTAAGTTTCGCAACGATTGCCCGGGGTCATCCGAAATCAACGCTTAAGCCCTTTCAATGACTGAGGGGATGTTCTTTCGAGTGACTCTTCCTCGCTGGTATATTGGAATCTTCGTTGGACTGTTCTAAAGCCGTATATTTTGCTATAACGTCATAAACGGTTGATCTCGGGTATCCAAAAAACCGAATTATTTCCGTTGCTGAGCGCCCAGCACGAAGGCCTTCGGTGATACTTGGTTTCAACATCGTGGCAATTTTGAGAATATGACTTTACTAGAAGCATCAGGTTTTCTCGGACGCCAACAACAATCTCTGGCGTACAATGTAGCGGAAAATTTAAATTGAAATTTGTCCGGATTTTGGTACGCACCCTGTATTAAGAAGTTTCATACTTAAATTTAATGCACAGCAACGTACAGTGTTACCCATCTCATAATTTTCATCGTCACATTGGTCAAGGAAGTAAAAAAGTCCGACAATGGCTTTCCTTTTTCACCTGTTTTTCCAATTGCTAAACCTATTAACAGACTGTAAAATACTAAACCCAAGACATTTGTTCCTGCTACATATTCGCTCGTTATGGGCCATTCTTCTATTGGTACTGTAACAAATTAAAAGTATGTTTTCATAAAATGTGCGTAATTTTTAAGTAATTACTTTACAATTAGCTTACATTTCATTCTGCGTATGAACTTTCGCAAATAGCTGAAGCAATATTTTAAATTTAATTTTTATTCTTACACTGCTTACAAGCCTGTATAAAATTGACATAAAATTAATTTATAAAGCTTCTTTTATTATTTGCCATCCCAAAAAGCATCATCCCAAGACAAATTCTTTTTAATAACATTCTAAAAAAATCAAAAAAATTAAATAGACGAAGAAGTGATTGCAAATTACAAACAAATTAACAAAATTGAAAAAAAAGAAAAGCCGACAAGCAAGTGAAAATATATGATATCTAGCATGTTGTAATACCTGCAGATACATTGGCTGGTTGTTCTAAAACAGTTTGATACTGTAATAAGAGAAATATTATAGTTTTAAGATTTTTACGATGCTGTAATAAGAAAAGAGACTTTGAAAGACAGATAATATAATCTAATATTTAAAAATTATATTATCTCTAATTAAACATACCTGATACATGCATGCATGTACTAAATTTTCGGGTACAAGATTACTGTAAGACAAAAAAATATATATGCATATATATAAAAAAGAGACTTCTTTTATACAGAAACTGTTTTTAAATTCTGTTAAGAAACTATTAGGAATTTTTTTTAAACACAGATTACTTGCTTTTTTAAGTCTATTTATAGTACATATATATAGTGAACTATTGACAACTTATAGTAACTTATTACATAAATTTTAAATAGTTATCGCATTTACATTTTGTAATGTTTATTCCTAAATATAATTTCACGATCATGTTTATATTGTGAATAGGTTTATTCGGTTTGCTGATATGACATATATATTATATAACATGGCCATCTAGACTATTTCTGATACACAAGATCCAAATATGAGTCTATTTGCAAGAAGCTTATCAATGCTTGTAATATTGACATCTCATCGTGACTTTTCAATCTTATTGTTCTTTCTGAGATAATTATTTAAAATGTATGTAATAAATTAGTAATTAAATCTGTATTAATGAGAATGATTAAAAAATGAAGAGTCAAAAGTTTAAGTTAATTGTTATACAATAATAAAGAATATATTGACGCACACCTATAGTGCTGGCTCTGATTGGTACTTTTCCTATTTGATTTATCGAATAACTACTTCAATTTAAAAACTTTGAAAACAAGATATTATCAGCATATTCAGGGCATTGGCAAAAAGTGTATACCATAAGTACCATAAGTTAGCAGCGATGCAAGAATGAATTTCGCAAAATATTATAGCTGAAAAAAATTGTTTATGGGAATTATGGGGGTAAAATTGAAAATCGATGAAATGAATTTTGTCTTTAATGGATGAACCGATTTCGATGAAAAAAAAATATGTTATAGGGTGCGATGTTTAAAAAAAATTGTAAAAATTTTTTCGAAAAAAATCGGTTGAAAAAAATTTCCAAAGTTTTTAATATTTTCTTTTAATAGGATATACTTGAGACACTGCTACCATTTTTTACTAAAATGATCTTCAACTTATCTAGTATAACATATTTAATTTTCAAAACGATCGGAAAGATAGTACATAGTCTTAAAAAATGAAGAGTTCAAGCGTGCGGTGTACGATTAGCCGGGTGTTGCTTGAGATTCGGCTACGCATACTACACTAGGTATTAAACTCAGCTACACATGTTTATGTAAGAACAACTCGCGAAAAAACTGCGAATGGTCTCCCACGTCTTTAATTTTTTTGGCAGCGAGTCCTCTATCCTGCTGATTACATGAGATATTTCCACGTTCATAGTAGAAGATAGACATATTTTAGTCAGTCTTTTGCGCTCTGTGTTGCATGAATCGCCGTGGAGCGCTATCAGCTTTGATTATTAGTATTAACGCGGTTATCGTTATTATTTAATTTAATCGCTTGATGAACTATTTCAGTAGGCCCACTCACAACGTCTTTATATAAGTAACACTTATCTAAAAATACTTGCTATATTGGTTCTTTTTTGCTATTTTGTTCTTTTGCATTTAATTTGACTTGGTGCAGTAGAAAATGTCTGTGTCACTGACGAATCGTAAATGTGATCTGGGTGCGATAATTTTTTGCATAAAGTATCTGGTCAAAAGAAGATAATTAAAACTATATACACATACCTATCCTGCTAGACCCTTTACATATATATAATACACTGAGAGAAAACAAAATAGTTCCAGCAACTATAAATTTGGCAACTTTTGCAATTGAAGTACCTGTAACTAGTTTTACAAAGTAATAGAAACTAAAGTA